GAGCGTGAATTTACTGACCGGAAGGTCTGTTTGAACCCGACCTCTGCCTCTCGACTTCCCCTGTCTAGGCTTGGGCAGCCTGGCAGTATCGCAGCCCTCGTGTGGCATGGCAGCTGGGCACCAAAAGGGTGCCACAGCTGAACCATTTTTTTCCAAGCCTAGGGAGGAGAAGTTCAGAAGCAGATGTAGGGTTCGAACCATATACCTTCCGGTCGGTGAATTCGCGCTCAAACCACTGAGCCATATCGTCTCCTTTTTGGGGGATACTTCCGGTCAGAGAGATAAACTTTCCAACTCTGGAAGGAATAGCCATTTAATGTGCTTGTGAAACAACCGAATCCCCTCAACAGATATCGAAGGGACAGATGCAGTTTCTTCACGTAGCAGAAGCACAAAGCCAATACAATACAGTTCAGCAGTCTACCTGAATATAACCCTAGTGTGATTGTGGTTCAACAACATACGAGATAATCTTGGTTATTATTAAAATGCGGGCTCTGTTTAATGGACTGTTATTCAGATGTCATAGACAAAAAGTTAGCGCAAAGCTAGTGGTAAAATACTAGTTGCCGACATTGTTTTATGAAGATTCTTTTCGGCTCACTTTTTCAAACAGAAGGGCACTTGGTGTACCGTTGTGCCATCAACTAGGACAAGTCTACTCCTGCTCGGCTGCAAGGGGCCTAACACGATGGCGCAGGGATTAGGGCATTAATGATGCTGCTGCGCACAGCAGGCGCTTTTTGAGCAGCACAGGACTCTTCGATTTTAAAAGTATTTCGACCGTGTCTAAACTTAAGCAACCTGGCAGTAACCCAGCACTCGTGTAACCCTCGGGTGGCATGGCAGCTAGGCACCGAAAGGGTCCTACAGCTGAACGTATTGAATAATGCGCCGGCGGTCACGGTCAACCGTGAGGCAATCGGAGTGCGTGGATTTTAGGGCCGGCCTTTTCTAACCTGTCCTTCCTCGGGGGACAGTCGCATGGCTGCTTCTATATATATGGACAGGTTGGTCGCCTGGAGTAGAGAACGCCTTACTACCTTCACACTGTTGTTGCAGGGGACAGTTTGCCTTTACCCCCAGACAGTCTTGTAATACTCATAGTAGGGCCTTTGTTGCTCCTGGTTTGAATACTTTCCCTTGGCCTTCCTGGCACGCTTGCATCATCATATGAAACGACGTTCCAGCCGGTGTAGTCCGTGGGAACTCAAGCCCAACGACCACGTCAAGGTGACAGACCGAATTGGTCAAACCAGCAATCGGTTCCATGAAGGGTCCCTCGAAAAACCCCTGGCAACCGTAATCTGGCGGTCCAGACTTTTGAGTATGAGGTTGGGGGAAGAGTCCCCAAACCGAGAACCCTACAATCTCGCATTGCTTTTTCGGTAGGGCTCTTAAGGTGAAGTACCTCAACCAATTCCCCTTCTCCGGACTGGGCTGCCGGGAAGTCTCGTTAACCTTTACATTTCTTTCTGCTCACTGACCCCTCTACATGTCTTCCACCCAACTCCTTTTGATCCACTTAACTATCAACTACCCTACTGTTGCTCCGTATTTAACTTATCATCATCGAAATCATCATCAATATCAGCTGTTATAGCTGCCCAGTTTGGTTTACAAATGATCTGGGGATGTGGGGTAGGTAGCTGCGCATTGGAGACGAGAGCTGATGAACTGCGTAAATTCAGGAGTCAGTGGACCGTTAAGTGGGGGGTTTGGAATGAAACTGTGCATTGAAGCCACTGACTTGGATGCATCAGCGTCAATGTGGGCGTGACTGAGCCCTGTATGACAATGTCTCTAGCCATTGATGCGGCCCGTCTAAGGGTACCCATCCAGGAAGACGGCAGTGACCAGCGCAGCTAAGTTTACTGATATAGCTGCCCAGGTAAACAAATTTGTCTACTACCTCAAACCTTCAACTGTTACCCGATAAGAGAGAGCGAAGACCTTATCAAAATAAGATCTGTTGCACATTGCGGCTTGCAACGTGCATACCATGTGTCAAAAGTACGCACGAGATGGCGATATGGCTAGATGGTTTGATCGCAAATTTACTGATCGGAAGGTTCGTAGTTCGAACGAAACTTCTGTCTAGCGACTTCCCCCGTCTAGGCTTGAGTAACCTGGCAGTATCTCAGCTCTCGTTGTTCCGTCAGGTGGCACGGCGGCTAGGCACCCAAAGGCTGTCGCAGCTAATGGACTTTTTACTGTGTTGAATTAGGCAACCGGTAGCTCTTGTTGAGACCTTGTTCTCTCCATCGACGTAGACTGCATCTGCGAAGCACGCATACATGGCCTTAGCTAAGTCATACACCTCAAACCACTCGAGATTAATCCAGATTCCTTGCACTGATTTTCTGGTGTCCAGTGGTCCTGATGATATGGCTCGCGGTATCCACGGAGTGAGTGTTGAGCATGGTCCCAGGGCTGAGTACGCTTTGCTGAATTCCGGTGGATATTAGCCTTCATGTGACTAGGTTGACCGGCCCAAACAAGATCAGTACATCTGGAAGCTGTAAACGGTGTTCGTTTGTTGTTTCACCATACGACCCGACAAAAGACAGCTCTGAAGCTGAGATAGACGGCTTCTACCGAAATTTGTCGCGGTTGTTACGGTCTGAGAGAATTAGAGATATCTTGACTCTATCAGGTGATCGTTCAGCTGTAGCACCCTCGGTGCCTAACTGCCATGCCACCCGAAGGTCGCAAGAGGGCTGGGATACTAGCAGGTTGCCCAAGCCTAGATAGGGGAAGCCGAGGGGCATATGTCGGGTTCGACCCACGGACCTTCCGGTCAGTAAATTTGCGCACTAACCACTTGGGCCATCTCGACCCTCAGGTGATATGTGTGCGCAGGTAGGCTTACCAAGTCCTGACGAGGTTCATCTTGGCGGCTGACTCGGAGTTCCGAGTTACCGGTAGAGCGGTTTCTTGGATTACATGCTGGACATCACTTACTTCTGGCGAGTACGAATTTTCAGCACAAGAGATCACGCCGTATGACTTAGAGGCCGCCAACTCCAGTCCTATCATGGACTCATTTGAACCATGCGGGGATCAGCTGTCGGTGGAAAGATTCGATAAATTATTGTCGTTTATTTTGGAGTACACCACTGGACTTTTATCAAGGCATTGGGGGTAAGTATCTATTCGCCTTACTCTGGACCACGCCGGCTTATGCGAAGCCATTCGGTTCACCAGCTGAAAAGCGACCCTGTTACTCAACAACACCGACATGCGTCAACCAGGAAGATTCCAGAATTCGACGGACACAATGGTGTTTTGGAAGATGTCTGAAGAAATGTCAAGAAAGCCAAGCTCACAGTTTTTGGTACAATCTGTCTGAAGGCCCTAGCATACTCCAATCACTGGAACTCGTTACGATCAGAAGCTCTGATTGAATTCAGAAAAGCTACACAACTCCCCAAACGACTGTGATGGCGGGCGCAGATCCCTCAAACGCTGAATGACAAATAGCCTAAAGATTGACATAGAGCACTGATGGGTCGCAAAAGCCCGGGGAAAGGGAGAGGCCTTTTGTAAGAAGGAAGTCACGCTACTCAAATGGTTTTATGCTCATGATAGTGTTATCTCATCCCGATCGACTACCGCTGTGCAGAACTTAACTGCCCGCACCTGAGTAACATTTGGGACGCCGTATCCCCTAGTTATTTGAAGTCAGCCAAATCAGCAAGCTGAAGCGAAAGCACCTAACAATTACGAAAGATCCTACCGACAGTGTTCATGCTACACAAGAGACCACCTCAATTGCCAGTGCTTCTATACTCTGTTTACTGGTAGTACGTCGCCCGCCCTTTAGCCGTTTCAAATCAGCACATGGCGCGAACTATATGTCCGAGCTCATGAAGTGGGACTTGTTAAACAAGAACACAGATACTATCATCCTCCTGGGCGATATGAATAGTCAGGCCGGCTGTCTAAGCTCTCCATAATCATACACGGGAGGTGGATTTAGAGTCGATTCCAAGGGTGGGCTTGACTGCACACAGATCTTTCGACAAACCTACGCCCGAAGCTTCCAAAACTCTCCACACCACACACGTGCACCTGTGCATTTACTACCGTGAATGCAAAGCACAAACCCGTGCATCAAGATAATTACAGTAAACAGGGTGCAAAGGGCTGAAACATGTCTGGCAGAAGGACTCAAGAATGTGATGTGAGAATGTCGAAAATGTGGAGTTACTGAGTCTGTTCGCTTAACATCATCATCGAGCTAGGGGTCACCAAGATGCCTTCCCACAAAAGATGATTATGGAATCGATAGATGGTAGCCGTACCTTTGGTGCATGTGGAGTTACTGAGTCTGTTCGCTTAACATCATCATCGAGCTAGGGGTCACCAAGATGCCTTCCCACAAAAGATGATTATGGAATCGATAGATGGTAGCCGTAGCACCCCTTTGGTGCCCAACTGCCATGCCACCAAAAGGAAGCACGAGAGTTGAGATATTCCCACGTTGCCAAAGCATAAACAGAAGTCCAAATGCAGAGGTCGGGTTAGACTGACGGAGAGACCAACAGCACATCCTTCAGGGGCAGAACGTCTGCAAACCAACAAGTTGTCACGCCAGTTTACCAATGTTTGAAGCTCGCTGGCTGCTGACGTGATTGAATAGAGTGACACCTTTATTTTCGAGCACACACTGAGGAGCATGCGGCATCAGTCTCAACAGTGACCACAAGTAAACATAAGCAAATGCTTAGATGGGGCTGAAACCGATTTTCTAACTGTGCCCCACCAACTGAATATACATATATCCGTCATTTGGACAAACAAGTTGGACGACCTCCAATGCCTAATATCATGAGAATAGGCAATTAGGTCTTAAGGATTGAGTCGGAAACCAGTCTAGGCTTGGGCAACGTGGCAGAATCCCAGGTCTCGTGCTTCCTTGAGGTGGCATGCCATCTAGGCACCGAAAGCGTTTTGCAGATGAACGATTATATTTTTTTTATCATCCAGCTGTAAAGACGTCCACGTTTGAGACGGCACCCGAATCTTCCTGACACTCCTCGACCAGGGGTGCCGCAGAAATGTGACGGCGCGGCAGCAGCAGTGGGATAACGTGAATATGCTGATAGGAGTGATGAAACGATGGGAAAAGGAATAGATCATGACTGTATGCAGCAGCAACGGGCGTTTGGCAAAACTCTATCCTGAACAGACCACATGCTAATGTAGAAACACGTCCCCCAGTAAAGAAAAGAATATCATTGATGATTTCGTAGGACTACCCTCATTCACTAAAGCTCAGAAACGTAGGTAGAACCGAGCATTTGGAAAAAGCCGCCGCACGTGCGAGACAGGGAACGACTAGGCGGTGAACGCGAGAGAATTTCGACCGCTGATTGGTCGATCGCTAAGTAGCTACCCATTGGAATCAGCGATTTAGAGAATGGTGCGCCGACCTGAGGCCGAAAGAATCGCGCATTGTAATTTTCCAGGTATACCATGTACTATATTGAGGAAAATACGAAGGAATCGCAATGCCACTCAACAGGGGCCAGACGAGGTTCATCCGAGTATCCTGAAGTAAACGTCGCAAAGCATCCCTACCTGGTGTTTCGTCAGTCACTTGATGAAGGCAACCTTCCCTTGTTTGGAAGGAAGCCATTAGCACGCCAATCTAAAAAACTGGTGACCGACTATCGCCCTGCGGCTAGAAGGCCGACGACCCTCACTGGCGAACTTTGCAAGGCAATGGAATGCTTTGTGAAGTGGGCCATCCTGAATCACCTAACATCAAACAGCCTGATATCCTCAGTGTCACACGGATTCCTCACTATCCGTTCTTGCGTGACAAACATACTCGTATTCATGGACACAACCCAAGCTAAGGACAAAGGTTTCATAACGGATGCAATAATGTTTGACTTCTCAACAACATTCAGTGGAGTCCCACAGGTCCCGCTGCCCCAAAACCACCAGTCTTACTGGATACAAAGAAGAATTATTTGCTGAATCATGGCGTTCTTATCAGACGTAACATTCCGAATGAAGGTAGGCTCGCCCTACTTTTCTTTGGCGCTGGGCTCCATTGGAGTTTCTCAAGGCTCTGTTTTGGGACCACTTTTGGTTCTGATCTACGTAATTGACCCCCAGCTGTTCACTCAGGTCCATGCTTCCTCTTTGATGACGACTTGAAATCATGAGTCTCCAATGGCAGTGCTCCCTAAATGGATGTAGACACTGTAAAGCAGTGGTCGCTGGACCGAAACCTTCCACCGGAGGAGGAAGAAAATTGCGCCCAGATGTCATCCAGTGGGGACTCAGCGAGTACCATTGTCATGTATGGTGAGAATGAGCCAGGAGACATTATGAGGATAGACTCAGAACACATTAGGTATATGAACCCCTTCAAGCATTTCCGTCCGACTGCACCCTCAGAAGTTGGCTCAAAAGGCTTTCCCCGTTGAATCATGAATCCAATTAACGCCTTCTTGAATCTGTGCCAACGAACATCGTACCACTAAGGTTTCTAAGAAACGTGCATTCGCTGGCTAAGGATCACCATTGATAACGACAACAGATAGCTACCTGAGGGAGGGACTTCCCGTAGCGGTTGCACATGTTTTGAACAGTGGTAGTGGCTTTTCAGGCCCGCGGCTAGAAGCACAATGCATTTTTCTGTAAAACACCCGCGGGCGAAATAAAAAATTTAACGCCAAAATGTTGCACTTCCTTGCATATATGCATGGACCGAAAACCACCCTCATCTGCCGTCATTTTTTGCGATTTGTTTTTTGAAAATTATTAGCGCACATTCGGCTTTGAACTTCGTCTGCTATGGCTTCGGAGGTGGCTTTCGTTGAGAAATTTGTGGGTGTATCGTTTTCATCCTTCACGGCATTTGAGAAGA